GAATCTTCCATGAGAAAGAAACAAGAAGATGAGTCGGTAAGTCTCGGTTTACCTACGCTGCTCGTCAAAATGGCAACTGTTCTCGCCCTCCGCAGCCTCTCGCGGGGAGGTCAGTCCTCTTCTTTCTTCAGTCCAAGTTTTCTCTCCTGATATCGCGGCTGATCGTCTTCGAACTGTTTCGAGGGAGGGGGGGCAAAGTGAATTTCCTCCATTTCGATGGACGATCAACAAATTTGCTACCTTAACCATCTAGTAATGTCAGTAAAGCTCTCGTTGCTGACGAAGGTCAAATACACATCATCCAACCTTCTTATAAAGCTTTGTCTAAAAGAGAAGAAATATATATTTATATATAGATCAGAAGCCTCTGTTCAGCTGATTCCTCCGAAATTTTTGTGAAGCTCCTCTCTTGATCGTGGATCAACAAATCCGTTGTCGGTTGCCCTGTCGTGTTCAAGTCTCTCTCTCTCTCTTTGTCACCGAAGCAACCGGAAATCTTCAAGTCAGCCCTTTCCTTCAAGGCCAACGTTCACCGTCTACCGTCGTTCAAATCGAAATTTGAATGTCATCTCAGGCAGAGCAAGGTTCCCAATTGGGATCCTGTAGTTCTCGTTCTTCACCGGTGTTATCGTGAAGTTCTTCAGCAACGTGGCTAACATCGCGAAGCTCAGATATTGCACGAGTTTGTAGCCCATGCACGACCTTCGGCCTCCGCCGAATGGTAGAAAGTGTTCCGGTTTCAGTAACCTTCCGTTTTGCACGAATCTGTCAGGCATGAATCTCTCTGGTGACGTCCATAGATCGGTGGACATGTTCAGCTCGTAGTTGTTGAGGAAGATAAAGGTGTCTTTCTTGATTCTGTAACCTGAGAAGAGAGACGATAATTAGTAAGATAATGTTTCTGGACGTTGAGAGTTGGCTTTCGGATTGATAAAGAGAAAGGAAGTTACCGAAGATTCATTTTACTTAAAATGAATGTGAAAATTTATTTTACTTGTTAAATACTTATTTTGGATGTTCCAAGTATTTTTGCATATTTAAATAGACTATGGAGAGACAAATGGAAAATTTTAAGTAGTATAAAAAAATAAATAATGAAGATGAGTAATTTATGTACAAATAGATAAAAGATTTATTTCACTTGTTGTATTTTCAGTAATTTTACTTGCTAAAAATTTCTGCATTTTCAAATAAAAGAGAAGAAGAAAATAAAAAATTTTGTTTAAAATTTCAATATAGGTTATTTAGTTAAATTCAGTCATATTTATAAAATGTATACTTAGTTATAGATGTTTAGTTAGATTTAGTCATATTTATAAAATGTACATAATATATTAAATATGCAATAAACTATCATTATTAATTATCTGTCTCATTAAAGAATATTTCAAGCTTGAATAAAATACAAAAGATTCTTACTAATACATCTTATATATTATTAATTATTATATTATTAATCAATATACAAATATACATTTTACTAATTTGTCCAATATTTCTCTTTGTCCATTATATATATATATAAGTATATAAAATGAAATTCCAAAATGTATTATATTATATATAATAGATATGTAACTTTCAACTACAATCTGAATGTGCATAAGAAAAAGCTTACCAGCAATGGAGCTATCCTGATTGGCCACATGAGGAACAATAGGACTGGCAATTATCCTAATAGTCTCCAAGATAATTGCCTCCACGTAAGGCAAGGATCTTCTGTTCTCCAATCCAACGAAGTTTCCGGCGATACCAAGACTATCGATCTCTTTTTGAGCAATCTTCTGAACGTTCGGCCTCGTAGCAAGGAATCCCAAAACCTTGACCAGAAGATTTCCAATTGCAGTGTGCCCGCCAATGATATCTTCCATCACAAACAACGCTGTGTTCCAAGACATCTCTGGCTCTGATCCGCTCTTAACATGATTGATCAGGCAGTCCACGTAGTCCTTCTCAGGAACAACGCCATTCCAAGCGTTCGCTCGATCAGATATAATGTTCTTAATGACGAATCTTCTGATTTCGTGGCTCCAGTGTGCCATTCTCGCCATGTTTCTGTGATGAAGAGGCATGAGGAAGGGTAAGAAATCGGCTGCGTAGCCTTGGTTCACCTCGAAGAACACTTTGTCGAAGTTCGCCACCATGTGTCGGAAACCATCGTGTTCCAGGTGGAAGTTTTTGGAACAGAGATACGTGATGAAGACGTTCGCGCACGAATGAAGGATCAATGGTTTCACGTGCACGTTTGTGTTTGAGAGGGAGTCTAGATGGTTGATCATAAAGTCCATTTCCTCGCCGATTATCTGGTTCAATTCGTTGTAGCGTGCTGAGAACGCGCGAGGGAATGTGTGCGCGCGAAGCATGTCTCTTCGGGTCTTCTGCACCTCTGACCAGTTGCAAAATGCCAGAGCTAGAAAATAGAAAGGAAATGGTATTTGTAAATTCGCAGAGAACTCTTAGGAAATTTGGTTAAATACTGCCGTGGGGGAATTCTGGGAGGAAAAGAAATTTTGAGACAAAAAGATTTCTACAGTGAGAAGGGCTCTTTCTGCTGTAAGAGATTTTAATTTCAAGAGAAAACTTTGAGGAAAACAATTTCTGTATTATAGAGAATTTCTAGACAAAGAAATTTTCTACTATAGGGAATGTCGACGAAAATTTTTACTCTGATTCGAAAAATAAAAATTTCTATTAGCTTGGAGCGCTTGGTAAAAAATTATTTATGAGAAATGTCAGGAAACCATAAAAGTATCGAAAGAAAAAATAATAATTTTTATTATAGGAAATTTCGAAAGAAGAAAATATCTGTTATACAAATATTTCGAGAAAAACAATTTCTATTATAGAAGGATTAAAAGAAAAAAAAAAGAATTGAAAGAATTGCAAAGAATTTCAAAAAAAA